CATTACCCAGGGCTCCATTTCAGCTCAGCCCCCAGGCCTTGATGAGCTTTGCTGGAGGTACGCCTGGACACAGCCCTGTCCCCTGCTAATCCTGACATGCTGGCTGAGCTTCCCACTCAGTTCTTGGACCAGCACTGTCACCTAGAATTTGTCTGATGATCACTGGACTGTCAATGGGACCCAATTCTATCACCAACCCCATGCTGTTCACCCAGCTTGTGAGGCCACCAGCTGGTACTGTGGTCACCCTCAGCTCCTGGCTCACTTTCCCTCGTGGGAAAGCCTCACTCTTGCTGCTCCCTGACAGGTTGTAGAGGAGGAAAAAAAACAAGCCCCAGGACATCAGAAATGCAGGTGGACGCACATCTCTTATCTCCTTAGAGCACAGATCCTGCTTTAATCATTAGACAGAGACAAGCATGCCATCAGCACCAAAATAAAATATTCTGTCTTCATTTGTTACTCTACAGTAGGAGGAAGGCAGACAAGATTTGCAATAGAGGCTCAAAACTGGCTACTACAAGTGTAAATCCAATGGTGCATACTTAATGTTTGCGTGCACAATTTTCACTCAGTCAGTCCCTCCCTTCTGATCATTTCTGCTAAAAGAAAGTAAGGCTTGCTAGATAGCAGCTTTCTGTAAAGTTACCTGCTATCCAGATAAAGAAGAACTGAAAACCTTCAACAGAACCACATGAGATTCACTGGCTCACAAGGACGATGTTTCGAGCTTACTCCAGGGAGGAGTCATTGCAGTTAACACTGAAAGGGAAAATCACCTTGATAATTTACTAAAGCCACACTAAAAATGAAGGTGTTGCAATGCATCAGTTTCAAGACCAGCTCAGGCAGCCCAACTGCCATCTTGTGGCTAACAAATCACACTGCGGCAGCTTCACTACGTTATTCCTTCATCATTTACTCCTTCATTATTTATTCCATACACGTATAGAATAAATCTGACAACAACATATCCCAGGCAGGAATAAGGAGCTCTGATTCTCTAGAGTCCAAATATACAATATAGATCAATGTTGCTAGAAGGGAAAAAGAGGTAAATTTAATTACCTCAAGTCTTAGATTGCAGAGAGTGGTAGGAGGGAGAGCATCTGGGTCAGGGCAGAGGCAGGAGTCATCTAAATTCAGGTACTATTTTGTACACACTGATCTGAAGAAATCAAGCCAACTTCAATACCTACATGAAAATACATGTTTAAAAGTTTGGGGAAAATATTTCATTTGACAATTGGGTCAAATTCCCAAGCCTCTATGCAATTCTAGAAATTAGGCAGCAAGGGAGTTCAGAAATAACACTTCTCCAGCAGATTTTTGCATCTTTTGTCCCTTGGGTTGATCTCAACAGCCATTTGAAAAGGTCAAAAGTGGTATTTGAGACTATGAAGCACCTGCAGTGGAACTTACACAAGAACTTTAGAGGTTCCTATCAAGTTTTCAGCCCATTTAGCACTTTCAGTGTCTTCTGTTGCTTATGCATGGATCACCTTACACCCTGTTTGCACATTGACTTGATGTTGAAAAATTGGTTTGCTCACCCTACTTCTGTGGCACTTGATGAATTTTCTACATTGGATTGTGTAGAAAAGGCACAATAAGAACCTGAGAGAAACTGGAGGGCCTTGGCCATGATGTCACGCCTGAACAGGGTGAACCTGCTTTAGCAGGCGGGTTGGACTAGAGGATCTCCTGAGGTCCCTTCCAACCGTTGCCATTCTGTGATTCTGTGTGTATCATTTTGATGGAAACCGCTTTGGAAACCAGTCTATGTAATTACAAACAAAAGACAGAATGACCACAAGGCTGTCCACAATATATCCCATTACAGTTATAACAAACACATCTTTCCCATGAAAACCTACATGCCAGTGAGAGCTGAAGGAAAAAGTAGCCAGGTCAGATCACACAATATATGCCGCAAGCAAAATTTTTACTTTCACTTGTTAAATGAACGGTTTCTAAGATGAGCTATCAGAGCTTTTTCGTATCTGTGCCTCCATTGACTTTTCACAGGATGGCAGCAGCAAAATGACCAGATTCCAAAGACATCATAACCATTCTTTTTGCCTGTTCCCTGCAGTTCCTACTGGAACCACTGTCCTGAACTGTTACATGGAGCTGTGGGCTCTGAAACAGGTGTCTTCAGCTAAAAGATTTGCAAGCTGAATGCTACAAAATAATCTATTTAGGACATATTTTGGTATCTATCACCAAAAAGTGCTGTCAGCCAGCAGTGTTTTTGTGAAATTAAGATACAGAAAACTACCATATAAAATCATAGAATCATAGAATCACTTTGGTTGGAAAAGACCTTTAAGATCATCGAGTCCAACCTTTAACCTAACCCTGCCATCCCACCACTAAACCATGTCCCTAAATTAATTATCCTTCATATTCCAAAGCTGAGCACCTCATAGTAAAACCATCATCTTTAATGTAAACTTTGTTTAAACATTGCTTCAGTAAGTGGTAGACACTAAGCCCAAAGACTGAAGAAATGAAAGATTCTCTTTGATGCACTCTAAATTATATATAAGTATATACATCTGACACCATATCTCCAATGAATAAAGAAACAAACAGAACAACAAAGCCAAACAGATTACATTTCTAATGTTTAAAGGGAGGGGAA